GTATTTAAAATGCAATTACCAATTAACCGTTACATAGAAGTGTGAAAACACATTATTTGTCTTTGTTAATTCCTTCATACATAAAGTCCTGCAAGGTTCTAGGAGATAATTGATTATGCAAGGTGAGGCCCTAATTAAGTGCTCTACCTGTTATAATTGAAGACGGTAGGATTGTTTGATTAAAGTTTCAATTAAATGAAATTTATGTGTTTTGAATTTCTGTTTATCACAGATCTTACTGTGTCGGGAAATTTTTACTGTGTCGCACGCATGAAATTTGAACCGCTATTGTGTCGGAGAAAATTTTACTGTGTCCCTTCAACAGCTCATGGAGAACCCTGGTTATATACTTGTTAAGTTTCAAATAAACCACTACACGGTTCAAATGTTTTTCTATGAGTGTTACAATCTTGACAGGCATCTACAATTCTGTTGTCCTACCTGCAGCCTTTGGGAACTGATTTGTTCAGTACATACCATGTTTATCTACCCATTATTTAGGTCTTTTGAATATCCAAGCGTAGAAACCGTTGGTTTATGCTTGTTAGGATATTTAGACATTATTTATTACAAGGGCTGCCAGATGATTTCCAAGAATTGTTATATTTTACACATTAACTACAAGTGCATGTAGTTTTTAATGGGAATGTGTGTTCTACATTCTTTCTCATGTAACACAGGAACAATGCCAAGACAAAAGAGAGTCAAAGCTCCACCCAGAACAGCACAGCCCCAAAAACGGAGGAGGAGTGCAGCTAAAAGCACATCCAGCATGGAACAACTAACTGAAGCTACCCCACATGCAGCTTTGAACACCAATGATATCTTGGTGGACTATGGAAAATTGGCAGCGGATCCGGAGATACTTAAACAAAAAGAAATGCATCTAAAAGGTCTACACCTATTCCAAATCCATCAATCATCTCAGCCCCTCTCCATTTTGGCACCAGCCACTTCAGCTCCGTAGACCCTGGCTCCATTCACTTCAACTCCGTCCACTTCGGCTCCATCCAATTCAACTCCATACACATCATTTTCGGGTTAATCTTAAGCGATACATCTTGCAGATTTATTGGCCTTAATTGACAATGTTTTAGTAAAACATGTGAATCATCAACAGAAAAAAACCAGCACCCAAAAATCATTGTGTCATTCATACAAAAAGGCGTGCATAAGGAAAGGTTAGCTAAATTACCACCTTTTCCCGTATCTAAATCTTCTGCACTTGAGGTTGTTCCAAAATCTTAGCCAGGCAAATTTCGCATTATACATTATTTATCTTATTCTAAAACACTCAGTTAATATATTTCGTTATTCTTCCAGAAAACTCGAAAGTAAGCTATGAGTCTATTGATAAAGTTGTTGAACTTGTTCAAAAGTTTGGCACAGGAAGTTTGTTCGCCAAGACAGACATTCAGGATGCATATAGAATTGTGCCCATTCACCATGTTCACCCTAAAGACTACCTTTTTTGTTATGATCCTTGTCTCCCGATAGAACCAGTAGTTCCTGTTAAATTTTTGAGCCCTTCAGCACTGCTTTAGAGTGGATAATGTATTGAAAGTTTGGTGCCTTGCGTTGATACAGAGGTTGCTACAGTTTCCATAGAATGCTGTTTACTACAAGTCCAATTAGAAAAAATTCGAAATTAAAAAAAATAAGGGCAGAAATTCAGACTTTTTCACTGATGTAGCAGGGTCTGTTGGGTTTGCTGGGGTGCTGGGAAAAAGTGGTTTGCTCAAAATGGCCAAAGGGTCTTAAAGACCACCAAATAGCTATTAGAGAATTATTTCCTATTGTAATTTTAATAGAGGTGTGGATCCCTTTGTTAAGCAAGACAAAAATTTAATTAATGTCCGATTATCTAGAAGTGGTGGATATTAGAAATAAAAAATCATCAGAAGATACCACTCTCAAGAAACTCATTTGGCGCCTTGTTTTGCACATGTGCTGTTGGAAAATAACATATCATTTAGAGCAAAACATGTCCCTGGCAAACTAAATATTTTAGCCGATCAACTATCTCTTTTCCTATTTCGGGAGGCTGCCAACGTTGCCCCGAATCTGTCTCCTATACAAACATTCCTTTCTTCTCAATTACTAGAGATCTGAGTACACCTTCACAGCAGATTCTTCAAGCCGCGCTTTTAATATGTTCTAGAATTCCATACCACAGAAGTTGACAGCTCTTCATCCAGTGCACTCATACTCGTACACTCATTACCAGTGTCAGAGGTAGATCTGTGCAATTTTATAGGATACCTTTTCTCAGCAAGTTATGCCCCATCTTCAGTATCTTCACATGTATCAGCAATAGGCTACCTTCACAAAATCTGCAGCGTACCAGATCCAACTGAAAAATTCCTTCCTAAAATCTCTTAAAAGTTTCCCATGCACTAACGCCTCAGCAGAACACAAGGCATTCAATTACTACAGACATCTTACGAAGAATTATAAAGGCTATTGACATTATTAAACAAGGGCGTAGCAATAGGGGGAGGGGGCAGGGAGGCTGTTCCCAACCCCTCCTTTTTTTCCCAACCTGACTTACACTATAGGAATGATAATAGAAAGCCTGGTTGCCCCTATTGGCTGTAGTTGACACTGAGGAATTTTCGCTCGTTAAGCCTCTATTCTCATGTTTGTTTTGAATAAAAGATAAAGTGCAAGAATATTCTCACATCCTCTATATATTTATTGTCTCTTAAATGTATGTATGCTCAAAACTGCAACATTTATTGCTGCAAAAGCTGAAAAAGAGTGCTGAAATATTTCTATGATATATATTTATTACGGGAGCTTACCTGTGTTAAAATTGTGAGATTGAATACATTAAGCACTTGCTTACTCGTTCATGAGATTATTCGTTGTAATATAATTTATACTATTTCTTTAAATGACATTGTAAAAATAATTTTAAATACCATTGCTTCTTTAACATATGAAAATAATTATTTGAAATATTAAATTTCAAACGATATTCTTTCAAAATGGTTTTAGATTGAATGTCCTTATCAAATTCCATACTTTTAGTACCATTCACCAATACGGAAAATAATTAAAGTTCATCTTCCTCTTGTCTGCAGCACTGAAGGACCACATTTTTCAGTCAGCGAGGTTTGTTTAATAATGACTAAACACATAGCGTCGTATTTTTATGTACTTTTTTTTATTAAATGGATTTAAGGCATTATTAAATTAATTTGGCAAAAATAACCGATTGCAGTAATGTTTTTATTACTGAAAAGAGTAATAGTTTCCTTTATAGTAATACTTCCCCGAAAAAGGAACTGTGCTCAACATGTTGTAGACCAAGTTTATCCCACAAAATAATTTAGACGTAGGTCCAACAAAAGGTTCAATCTTCTAGGGGATTAAGCTGAGGTCCATGCAAAAAAAATGTTACTATATATTGCATTTGATTTATTCACAATTGAGGTATTCTAATTATTCTACGTAGATTTTTAAAAAAAATCTATCTTTTCAGTAATTTACTGTTGTATGTAATTTATTAAAAATTCATCAATAACATTTTTATTGTCATTTGGAATATCACAATTAATATGAAACATTTTATCTCATTTCAATAGCAGCCTGATATATAGAATAGCTAGGTCAGTAACACACTCTGTGGAGTCTGACACATCCCTTTAAAGTCTATAATGCAGTGATGAATGTGCTAAACACACGGCCTTCTGTTTCGCTCTAAACATATAGTACTATTTAACATACTCAGTAATTCAAGTTGCCAAAACATGGACTTTTAAAGTGATATCATTGAATTTCTTGTATTTAATGTCATCCTTATTTAGAAAGTGGTCCAATTAACCTAAACAATTGGAATATTAGTATGGGTTATAGTATTTTATAATAACTAAGATTTATATGTAGGAAACACTTGTCAGGACACAAGACTGAAAGAAAGACGTACTGAAAAACTGAATTTAAACACAGCGATCAATAAAGTCAATGGATTACCTAGGAACATCCAAGCAATATTATGTCAGAGACTGGCAATTTTTATCACTCAGTGTGGCAGAAAAACCTAAATAAATGTTGAAATGTTCAATTTCCTTGTTCATTGCTTTTTTTTTCTTCATATATGAATATCTCACAATATTTATGCGAATTTCGCACGATTTTTACATGAAAAACGGATAAATTGGAATTTGCATAAATATCATGCTGAATTTTAGTCACATGAAAATCGCATGAATTTTGCATAAATTTTGTATGAGGACAGTTGCATGAAATTCGCATGTGGAACTTTTCGCATGGTTTTCATATGATTTTCGCACGAAATTCATGCGAAAACGCAATCGCATGAAAATCTTGCGAGCCACTTTTCTCTGTGTGCAGTTTCTCTTTAAATATCAACCCAGCAGTCCTATTGTGAAGTTGTTGCAGTAAAAAAGTAAATATTATTATTTAGAAAGTTTTTGCCTAAATAGAGGATTTGTATCTGGCACTTCTCAATCTCAAGTACACATCGACTTAAGGACAGAAGACAAGACCTGTACAGTTCCGTTAACTGCAAAACGATAAAACAATACGATATCATCTTTCTCACGATACTTGTTTTTGAAAATATCAAACATATCTAAATTCATATTCATATAAATAGACATCACAATATTATACATTCCTGATTGTGTTTCCCTCTTATGATACTTAAATAAATAAATTTCCTATTTTGTATATATAAGTGGGGACGTTTTTTAAGTGTGTATACTAATGACTATTTTTTTTAGAAAGTCGGACGAGACAGTACTTTGTAAGAAATTTGAAATTAATCTTTTTAAATTCTTTAATTAAATATGTCTTTGAGAAGGATCGCAAAGACAATTGGTTGGACCTACTGATTTATATAATAATAAGAATTACAAATGTATAAAAAAGATTTTAAAACAGGGAATAGAAACAATCTGATAAAATACTTCCTTGATAATAGAACTTAATGGTATTTATACATCTATTGTTGATTTGATCATATTCTTGAAAACTTCCTTTACAATTTAGTATTTAAAATTTTAGGAGAAAGAGATGTTTCACACAAAAACAGCTCAAATATATTTTTCCTTCGAGGACAAATCTGCATATTTCCTGTTATTATTACCTGCCAATTTTCTTCTGATATGTTGTTCTAATGTTCCGAAGTGTGAAAAGTAAGTATCTGAATGCATTATCTTGAATTTTTCTAATCTTTTTGTAACAAAGCAACTCCCGATTTTACTATCTTAGTAATTTTATTCATATTACTATAATAGAAACAATTAATTGCCTCTGCTGAGCCTCTGGCTCGGCGGTCCAGTGCATTACCAAATTAGCTAAAGGTTTAACCCACTAGCCCAAGCTAGTAGAATGCTGTTTATCTAACACTACCACATTGCCCCTCCCCCATCCCATCCCTGGGGATGATATGTGCTCATCTCTTTCGTATTGTTGACACCTGTGGGGTGAAGTTCTAGGGACAATTAGTCAGAGAACACCCGGGTCCCTACTTGGGCGCCAAATGTAACTGAGACAATTTATTGCATCTGTTTGGGATGAACCCGAGGCTTCTGGCTTGCCAGTCCTGTGCTTTACCAATTGAGCTAAGCTAAAGGGTTAACCTACCAGACCAAGTTAGTAGGTTGCCATTTATCTAACACTACCACACTTTTTGTCACAGGGTTCACAGGTGCGTGAAAATCAGTCAATGTATTGGGTCTCAATATCTCCTTTGGTTAGAGGGCTAACACAGTACGCCAGAGGCTCTGAGTTCGCGTTTCGGTTGAGACTTGGCTTTTCACCATCTGTGACATTAGGCGTCCAACGAAAAAACTCATAGAATTTGGAAAGGAATTTCTACGAAGAGGGGGAATATGTAGCCGGGTTCACAGGTGCGTGAAAGTCAATCAATTTATCTGGTCTCAATAGCTCAGTTGGTTAGAGTGCTGGCACGGTACGCCAGAGGCCTTGGGTTCGAATCCAAGATGAGATTTGACTTTTCACCACCTATGAAATTACCACTATAATAACATGACAATTGAAGATTTTTTCTCTCGCTATTTCGTGTTTTATAGACTGTTCTTTTTATCTTATTCATGGAAAATATCTGACGTGTATATTTCAATTTGAATTATTTAATCATGTTTACGATATGTTATTTGTATTTTAAAATAGAGGCTTTAAAAACTGCTGTGCAGATTACAAATGGAATAATGAGATACAAGATTGTGAAAGTAAGTCTCAGTGATGACAGGTATATATCTTAAAAGATGTATGGCTAAACGAATTATTTTAAACACCTGTTTCCTCAGCGCTAATAGGCATGCATTTCTTAGCCAATAATAAAAATACACGTACAGTATATGATATTAACCGCTGACAAACATAGTATAAAGATTATTATATTATCTCTTAATAACTAAAAAACTGTATTTCAGAATGCTCGCCGGGCTATATCGGGAACAACTGCAGTGAAAAATGTCCCCCTGGTTACTATGGAGACGGATGTCAAGAGATATGTCATTGTGACGTAAACGTGTGCAACATTTCAAATGGTTGCCCACCTGTTACTACATATACGAGGACATTTGTTTTCCCCAATAGTAAATACTATAATTATCAGTATATATTCACATATCGATATAACCAAAAATATCCTTGTTGCAACATTTGAAACAACGGAAAAACTCTACCCTTTTCCTTACCAACGTAAAAGAATTCTCAGAAAAAAAAAATTTTTATCAAGAATAAAATTTACCTTTCCCTCTAAAAATGTACATGTACTAACGGTTACCCTACACAAGTACATGTATAATCTATTTATATCAAATGTATACGGTAAACTATTTTATTAAGAGCATATTGAAATAGAAAAACCGAATGGTGTAGTTATAAAGCTTTTTTTGTTTAAAAACTTCCTTCAGGTCTCATAGGGATAAACTTTTCATTAAGGTTTTATTTTTCTTAAAGTTTTATAATATGACATCTAAACAAAATGTAAATGACATATAAACTAGTGCTAATTGTAACGGGAACCGTTACAGATGTTCCCCAAACGCTCCCCAACTCCCCTTCGGTGCCATATTCCTTGAAGCTTCATTAAATAAGACAAACTCTGTGCATTTTTGACTTTAACAACGTTTTCCCAGAAGGATACCAATTCTATTCAATTTTTAGCATTGCACCCAAGCGCATGTGAATGCATGTGCGTTATGACCATATCATCTTGTCTACACTATTTATATATTTTAATATACTATATATTAAAGCATTCAGTCCAAAAGTAATAAAAAGCACTCATTCATAGGTATTTTTAAATATACTCGTTTCAAATGCACGCACGTGCGTGCACGTGCATGATGATCATACCTTCCTGTAGGAGTCCCTTAGATCTATCTATGTTCTAAATCCCATCCTTTTTGGTTGAAAAACAAGGGAGTTATAGCCATTTAAATTTTCAGCCAATCATATTGCAGCACACGTGCATGCGCGTAATTTCATTATTTTTTTTTATATCATTTTGTAGGATATCCTAATGCATGACTATGTTTTAAATTTCAAAGAATTTCGTCAAAAAACAAAGGAGAAATAGCCATTTAAAGTTTCAGCCAATCAGATTGCAGCAAACGTGCATGCGCGTGATTTCATGATTTTTTTCTATAGCATTTCGTAGGATATCCTAATGCATGACAATATTTTAAATTTCAAAGAATTTCGCCAAAAAACAAAGGAGAAATTTTTTTTATAGCCATTTAAAATTTCAGCCAATCAGATTGCAGCACACGTGCATGCGCGTGATTTCATGATTTTTTTCTATATCATTTTGTAGGATATCCTAATGCATGACTATATTTAAAATTTCAAAGAATTTCGTCAAAAAACAAAGGAGATATTGCCATTTAAAGCTTCAGCCAATCAGCTTGCAGCACGCGCACATGCGCATGCTTTAATGAAAATTCTTATATATCATGCGGTAGATCTTCATAATGTAGGACTATGTTCAAAATTTCAAAGGATTATGACAAGAAACAAGAAAGTTATTGAGACTTTAGTTTCAGCCAATCAGAGCGAAGCGCACGTGCATGCGCGTGAGATCTTGCTATTTTGACCATGCTATCTTGTCTATACTACTAATGTATCCTTACATTATGAGTTTCAAAAAATTTCATCAAAAAATAGAAAAGTTACGGCAATATCCATTATATTGGTAATTTCACCTATTGCACGTGCGCGCTCATGCAAGCACGTGCGCGCAAAATGACCTTTGTTTGCCAACTCTACATAACATGCCTACTAACCCTAAAAGGTTTCACCTAAGTCGGATGTGTAGTTTACGAGATCACTCGTGGACAAAATTTTCCCAGGAAGAAGAAAAATAATAACTAGTGCTAATTGTAACGGGGACCGTTACAGATGTTCCCCAAACGCTCCCCAACTCTCTTTTATAGTCATATTCGCTGTAAGCGTAATTAAATAAGACAAACTCTATGCATTTGAGACTTTAACAACGTTTACCCAAAAGTGTACCATGTTCATTCAAATTTTATCATTGCACACTTGCGCATGTAAATGCATGTGCGTAATGACCACATCATCTATATATTTGAATACGCTAAATATCAAAGTATTTAATCCAAAGGTTTAAAAAAAAACGCTCATTCAAGTGTATTTTTTATTTTACCGATTTCACGTGCACGCACGTGCATACACGAGCATGATGACCATACCTTCTTGTAGAAGTCCATTACATCTATTTATGTTCTAAATCTCACCCCGTTTGGTTGAAAACCAAGGGAGTTATAGCTATTTAAAGTTTCAGCCAATCAGATTGCAGCGCACATACACGCACATGTATGCATGTGCATGGTGACCATACCTTCTTGTAGAAGTCCATTATATATATCTATGCTCCAAATCCCATCCTGTTTGGTTGAAAACCAAAGGAGTTATAGCTGTTTAAAGTTTCAGCCAATCAGATTGCAGGGCACGTACACGCACGTGCATACATGTGCATTGTGACCAAACCTTCTTGTAGAAGTCCATTATATCTATCTATGTTCCAAATCCCATCCTGTTTGGTTGAAAACCAAGGGAGTTATAGCTATTTAAAGTTTCAGCCAATCAGATTGCAGCGCACGTGCATACACGTGTTTTCATGATAACTGCTATATATCATGTTGTAGGATATCGTAATGCATGGCTATGTTCAAAATTTCAAAGGATTTCGTCAAAAAACAAGAAAGATATTGAGACTTTAGTTTCAGCCAATCAGAGCAAAGCGCACGTGCATGCGCGTGAGATCTTGCTATTTTGACCATGTCGTCTTGTCTATTCTACTAATATATCCTTACATTATGAGTTTCAAAGCATTTCATCAAAAAATAGAAAAGTTAAGGCAATATACATTATATTGGCCATTTAACGTGTTGCACGTGCGCGCTCTTGCAAGCACGTGCGCGCAAAATGACCTTTGTTCGGCAAATCTACATAACATGTCTACTGACCCTAAAAACATTTTACCTTAGTCAGATGTGTAGTTTACAAGATCACTCAAGGACAAAATTTTCCCAGGAATAATAATAATAATAACTAGATGAGATCTCGTTGCGAGCAACGAGTAGGTCTTCCGTTGAATTACTCGATAAGATGAGATGTGATTTTGACTGAGATATTTGTTTAAAGAGAATGACATTAAGTTTTCCTTCAACGAATTTAAAGTTTCTCATTTTTATCACAATTTTCTGAACATCTTTTGTTCAATATGGCATATAGAAGTACCCCCTCTTTTCAAGACGTAAAGCTTGATAAAAAAAATAGCATTTTGGCCGCATTGCGACCCCTTAATACGTAAAATATGGCCAAAATTTTATATTATATTGTTGTTAGTTGTTAAAATGCATTTCTTTGATTCTGTAATGTATCACAAAATATTGATCAAAAATAGGTACTGATTCAAGACTTTTGGCCCCTTTAAGCCACTATTTTAAGGTGTCAGCCCCGTTTTCTTGATATCAAATGAAAGGTCTTGTAATTTCAAAGATGTTTTGTTCAACACCTATTTAGAGATTTCTTTTTGTTGTGGAGATATGCTTCATATAGATATTTAGGGGCCACTCCTACAAGTCCTTAATGGGGCCATTTTTCAAAAATTCAAAGTGTGCATATTATTAAGAATATTATTCTGACCATCTTTTGTTCAATATTGCTTATCAAAATATTCCCCATTTTCAAGATATGAATCGTTCAATATTTAGTATTCTGGCCCCTTGTGACCCCTAATTACGTAACATATGATCCAAATTCTATCAGATATTGTTGCATATTGTTTAGATGAATACCGTTGCTTCTATAATGTATCACAAAGTATTGATCATTTAAGAGTTAAAAAGATAAAAGACCGTTGGCCCCTCTGAACCCCTAATTTCAGGGGTCAGCCTCTTTTTCTTGATATCAAATGAAAGGTCTTGTATTTTTGAATCTTTTTTGTTCAACACTTATTCAGAGATTTTCATTCGTTGTGGAGATATGTTACATATAAATATTTAGGGGCCACTCCTGCAAGTCCTTAATGGGTCCGTTTTACAAAATTTCAAAGTGTACATATTGTTTAGAATATTATTCTGACCATCTTTTGTTCAATATTGCTTATCAAAATATTCTCCCTTTTCGAAATATAAAGCGTCAAAGATTTGACATTCTGGCCCCTTGTGACCCCTAATTACGTAACCTATGATCAAAATTGTATCATATATTGTTGCCAATCGTGAAGATAAATACTTTTGATTCAGTAATGTATAACAAAATATTGATCAATAGAGAGTTATAGATAAAAGACTGTTGGCCCCTCTGAGCCCCTAATTTCAGGGGTCAGCCCCTTTTTCTTGATATCAAATGAAAGGTCTTGTGATTTTGAAGATTTTTTGTTCAACACTTTATCAGAGATTTCTATTCGTTGTGGAAATATGCTACATATAAATATTTAGGGGCCACTCCTTTAAGTCCTTAATGGGACCGTTTTATAAAATTTCAAAGTGTGCATATTGTTTAGAATATTATTCTGACCATCTTTTATTCAATATTGCTTATCAAAATATTCTCCCTTTTCGAAATATAAAGCGTCAAAGATTTAGCATTCTGGCCCCTTGTGACCCCTAATTACGTAGCATATGATCAAAATTGTATCATATATTGTTGCCAATCGTTAAGATAAATACATTTGCTTCAGTAATGTATAACAAAATATTTATTAATAGAGAGTTATAGATAAAAGACTGTTGGCCCCTTTGAGCCCCTGATTTCAGGGGTCAGCCCCTTTTTCTTGATATCAAATGAAAGGTCTTGTGATTTTGAAGCTTTTTTGTTCGACACTTATTCAGAGATTTCTATTTGTTGTGGAGATATGCTACATATAAATATTTAGGGGCCACCCCTACAAGTCCTTAATGGGACCATTTTTCAAAAATTTCAAAGTATGCATATTGTTAAGAACATTATTCTGACCAACTTTTGTTCAATACTGCTTATCAAAATATTCCCCTTTTTTAAGATATAAAGCGTCAAAGATTTAGCATTCTGGCCCTTTGTGACCCCTTATTACGTAAGATATATTTAAAATTTGAAAATATGTTGTTGCAAATGGTCTAAAATTAATAAAAATTGAAAAATCGAGCAGAAAAAGTGATAAAATTTTTTGGTCACACGGGGGATCGAACCCGGGTCGCCCGCGTGACAATCCAACGCGCTAACCATTTAGCCATTGGGATCGCTGCTTCGCGTTTTCAAATGCAAATATCTCGAGATTGGCTTTTTCGATTTTCAAACAAATTACATATATGGCTTCTGCAAAAGGGTCTCTATTCAATTCTAAAATAAAAATATTAAAAATGAAAAGTTGAAAAAATACGTTTCTTAAATTCGCTTCCGGTTTCGACCGGAAGTACTGACGTCGCACGAAAAGGCGATTCTGCAACGCTATAAGTCATGAACTATCATCTCCAATTAACCTTCAGCTCATATCTTAAGCAGTTTTTGCTATTAAATCAAGACAAAATTGCATTTTGAAATCAGAAAATTGCCCATATCTCACGACCGGAAGTGACGTCATAAAAACGATCATAAACCTATCAAGATCGATTGATAAGCTATTACATATGAAAATTTCATGTAAATCGGCCGAGCCGTTCCCGAGAAATCGCGTGCACAAAATCGGTTGGAAGAATAATAATAATAATAATAATAACTAGAAAAGAAACTCGTTGCGAGCAACGAGAGGTCTTCCGTCTGATTCTGAAAAAAAACAAAAAAAAACACAAACTCGAGCTGAAAAAAGTGATCAAACTTTTTATGGAAACAAAGGGGATTAAACCCGAATCGCCAGCGTGAAAATCTAATGCGCTTACTATGACGCTATTGGGACCACAGCTCTAAATGTATTTGTATAATTATATTTCTGCAACAGTACATCTGTCTTAGAATTATGAAAGGCGAATCATTATTCATAATTTTGCGTCAAACGCCTGGAGTAAATCGTCGCGCCTTTTGTTGAGAATGTTCCATTAAATAGGTGTGATAGCTTCAATGGAAAGGAAAAAGAACTTTCTTATAGATAAAATATCAAGGTGAAGAAAGTATATTTAACACATTTAACAAATTTCATATTGTATATAAGCAAGTAACACTAAAGCAATGAAACAGTTCTTGAATTAAACTTTTTTGAAATTTCCTGTTTATACCCAAAATGAACTATCCAGATTAGTTAAGCTTTTATGAAAAGGTTGAAATGTTTTGCCGAAAAACATGTGTTGCCCGAAGACAATCAAGGAATCGGATACCATTTATGCTCAATAACTTGAATCAGATCTTTGAGACAAGAATGTTAATATAAACTTCATTTATCGATCTTTTAAAAAACTGTTATCTTATTTTGTCTTTTCTATTTTTTTTAATATGACACAAGTGTGCATTGTAAAAACAGTTTGTAATTTCTATACTTACTATATTCATTGACATTGTTTCTAGAAAAACTATTACTTATAACTATGATTTAAGATCTGTTTTCACGTGTTGCAAATCAGAAGGTATTAGGTATCGAATTTCATTTGCACATTTAGTCTTTCTTTTTCTACTTTGAGAACCAGCCAAATGTAATTATAGATGACGTTTAAGAAGAACATAGTTTGACACAGAATTGCAATGTAACTACGACGTGACAATCCAAGTATTCCTTTACATTTCATTTTTACTTGTGTTACTTTCGTTCAAGCAAACGCTCGGCTGACTCCGAAAACCCCTATTGCGAAATGTCGGAGTTGACATGGACAGCCGCCATCTTGGACTCGCTTCAGCTTTTTAAATGCTAATATCTTAAGTTTAGATTTATCAATATTCAAACAAATTATATAGTGAACATTATAAGAAAGATTTCTATTAGCAAACTAAATATAAATGAAAAATATTTAAAAACAAAAAAGTTAGAAAAATACGAGTTTTTAAATTTGCATCTCGTAACGACCGGAAGTATTGACGACGCACAAAAAGGTAATTCTGCAAACCAGAAATTCATGAGCTATCGTCTCCAATAAGTCTCCAGTTCATATCTTTAGCCATTTTCGATAAAAGTGCGCGACAAAATCGCATTTTAAAATCAGAAAATTGTCCATAACTTGGCACCGAAAGCGACATTTCCAAAAAAAATTATAGACTGCACAACTTCATATAATGACGCATTTTTTGTGAAAGTTTCATTGAAAACCGCTGAATAGTTTTCGAGAAATCCCGTCCACAAAATTTTGTCAAAAAAAGAATAATAATAATAATAATAAGAAACAGTAGAATCACTATAAGGTCTTCCGTGAAGACGGAAGACCTTAATAATAGAGAAAAAGAAACCGAACGAAAACAATAAGGTCTTCCGTTGGAAACGGAAGACCTTAATAATAGAGAAAAAGAAACCGAACGAAAACAATAAGGTCTTCCGTTGGAAACGGAAGACCTTAATAATAATAAGAAACAGAGTAAAAACAATATGTTCCCCAACTTCGTTTGGGGAACATAAAAATATAATAATATATTCTTGAAAGGATAACGAAAAGTATAGAGTACGTCATTGTTACAATATTATCTAATGAAGGCTAAACGCGTTTACTGCAATTCATGGAGTATTTGGTGTCCAGATGCCTCTTATCCGCACGACGTCTCCAAATGTATTTTCCAATGTGATATTTAAGAACAGCTTTCCTTTCATGGAATTCACTTGAATTAATTTTCCTTTCATGTACCAGTTGGTAAGTTTGAGCTTTTGCAATCATGTTTTTGGAGGTTTCTTGTTAACGACAAATGTATAAATCAGCAATAATATTTGATACAAAAGAGTATCGCTAAGATAATGTACAATTTATTTGTCCTCAATGAGAGATTTGGCCTTAAAAAAAATTAAGAATCACCTTGATTTTGCTGTACTTTTCAATGAGAAGAGATAGTTATTTCATACTTGTATTAAGCAAGTGAATTACCTGTGACAAGGTCTTTGTTATAAGAAAAAAATGGTTATTTTTCACCTCCTGACCTTGACCTTGAAGTTTAACCTACTTCTCAAAAACTTTGACATTTGTAATGATTTTTGAATTTTAAGAGATAGGGCGTTCATATTAAAACGGTGTATTGCCTGTGACAAGACCTTTATAAATACACTATGATTCTTTACTCCTAGATCTTGAGTCGCTCGCGTGGTGCAGTGGTTAGAGCATGTGCTCCAGAGTCGCAAAGTAAGGATTCAATCCTTTTGTCGCAAGTTTGAGTCCAACTGTTGGACGTGGAGATCGGTCTTTCGGGCGAGACCGTATAAATTGAGGTCCCTTGTCGCAGTAGGTGTTGGCACGATAAAGATCCCTGCCTGCTCAATGGCCTTTAGTGCCGAGTATAGGATTTGCAGCTGCTCTCCACCGGCAAGTGGTGGCATCTCCATATGAGTGAAAAATTCTTGAGAGGGACGTTAAACAAAATAAAACCAACCAACCTAGATCTTGAAGTTTGACCTAATTTTCAAATATGATAATTTTTCTTAAAACTTCTGATTGAAAAAAGACAGAGCTTTCATATTTGAACTGTGCACTGCAGGCCTACCTGTGACTAGGTATCCCCAGTCATGCTCTGATTTTTGACCCTTTGACCTAAAACTTCACGATTGACCTAATTTGATAATTCATCTACATTTGATAATAACTTCTGAATGACATAATTTTGATATGACATTCATATTTGACACAATATTCATGGATTATGACATCTCACCAACAAAGACATCAAATGCAGGGGACAATTGTTCTTAAAAAAATCTTTTTTATTTCGATTTCAGCAAAGAATATTTTATCTTTATCACATGCTCTATACGATTTGATTGATTTGTTCCATTTAATTTATTACAGGAGGTTTTTTTCAAACTAATGTCAGACGAAGAGTATAAAGATAAACAACAAAAGTCTCTAAACACAGAATGTTAACAAAATGAAGGCAAGTTATATGTCGCATTCATTAATAATCCAAGTTGCCCTATATATTCTTGATTGATGAAACTTTCATTGCTTTAAGTAACTGTAAAGAAGTTGATTTTTTGTTGTATGTTTTATCTTAATTTTGTTCGAATGGGGTTCCATACATTTGAGTCTGTTTTGCCACGAGTATATAAAGGGACCAGTTTTGTCGGGGTGGTCAGATCTAGTTTGGTGTCCGGTAGCGTGACCAGCCTGAGGTGTGCTACGTTTGCATTTTCCCTGGCATGACTTATACAAATGGCGAATATTTTCAGTGAGATATTGCACTGTAATGTTAACTGGTAGTCATATAACCTGCCAGGAGGATTATTGCAGCGTGTTTGTGCGGTTCTAGCCGGTGAGAGTGTTCGAATAATGTATAGGGGGTTTGCAGTCATAAATTTCCGGTTTCCGTTGTATTTAAGGTTAGGTGTTTGTAATCATAAATTACTTTCAGTGCGTAAGGGGCTTGGAGACGAGTTTTTGATGCATGGGCGTGCTGATGGTCGTTTGAGGAGGTCTAAGGCTTATTGACGAGTGTGTATGGAGGGCCACTTGCGTCTTATCCAAGGTCGACACTGTTAAGGGCGTGGTAGGATAACCGAAGCGGGAGGCTAAGACCCGGGGCTCTGCAAGTTAGGAACTACTATTTTGTGGACCACGAAACTTGGTGTGACGTTGACGTTATCTGTATGGCAAAAGCGCCTTGGTGCATTTTCTAGGACACGTGTCGCTGACCTGTTTTGTGAACCAGAACTTTGAGTAACTTTCAGTAGTAAATAACAGAACTCGTTTACATTTTAAAAGATATTATTGTTATTTGAAGTTAATTGAGCTTTTTCGAAATATTAATTGAAAAGACTGAATTGAGTTGATGAATTTTACCTTTTGATTTAAAATCTGATAATTATTAACTCAGCATTGTAGCATGCAGGGGCGTAGCAACAGGGGGGGGCCAGGGGGGGGGCTGCCCCCCACTTTTTTTCCCAACCTTACCTCTACTATAGCAAACCTGGTCCCCCCCCCCCCCAGTTTTAGTGATGTACCGAAAATAAAGTATTAGAGTTGGTACTGAAAGTAGTTGACACTGAAAAAAAGAAAGCCTCTACCCCCCCCCCCCCATTTTCATTTCCGCTGTGGGAGCTGGTATGTGAGCGTGAGTGAGAGTTATTGAATTTAATTTGTTTTTTTTTATTTGTGTTAATAAACTTATTTGTTATTTCTGATTGATATTGTTTTTCCTTCTCAACTCTACAAAATCCAAAAAGAACTCATGACAGTAACTTGTGTTGATATTTGATGTCTCCCATTGAAGTGTACTTTTGCATTTATTGACCAAAATACTTACATTAATGATGATATCAAAATGCATATTATTGAGTCTTTTTTAATACATAGATTGTTTTATGAAACATATGGAGATAACGAACAGTATTTAAGGTAAAAAATCTACCCGGTATTTTATAATACAAATTAGGAGCAGAGGAAACATGGACCTTAAAACATCAGAGACTGGATCAGTCGCCATAGAGGAGTGAGCATCCCATGACGACCTTTCACACCCGTGTGTGCTACTTATCATGTTTCATTTCAAATCAAATCGAAAATATATACATGTATAGCATGTTGTAAATGTAGTGAATCTTCACTGTGAAAGCTTTATATACAGAGATGTTAAACAGGAGAAAGTGGTTGAAAAAATATTAATACTAAAAATAGTGCCTTGTGATTGGGAGGGGCCAGTATTAAGTATTTTCACATGCTTATATGTGTACATATGTTTATAAACTTTGAGAAAAAAAATAGCAAATCATAGTATGTCACAATTATATGTCTAATTTTTTCTAAGTTTACAAAGAAATACAGAAAGAAAATCTTTAAAAATCTTCTTCCTAAGAACCACTTAACCATGGAAAATTAAACTCAGATGGAATCATCCTTTGATAGTGTACATTCAAGTTTGTTTAAATCTTGACCACTGGGGTAGGATGGGGCCATAATGAGGTGTCTAAGTTTAATGTAGAAATACAGAGGGAAAATCTTTAAAAATCTTCTTCAAAAGAACCACTGGGCCATGAAAAATGTAACTCAAGTGGAATCATCCTCTGTAATGTTATCTGTTTAAATCATGACCCCGGGGGTATTTTGGGGCCCTAATGGGGGATCAAAGTTGAACAAAGGAATACTTGGGGAAAATCTTTAAAAATCTTCTTCTCGAGAACCAAGGAGCCATGAAAAATGAAACTCATGTGGAAGGAATTACTGGTAGAGTAGATTATTTTTTTTCAAATCATGACCCCCGGTGGTAGGATTGGGCCACAATGGGAAATTGAAATTTAACATAGGAATACAAGGGAATATCTTTAAAATCCTCCATCTCAAGAACCATTGGGTCAGGAAAGATGTAACTCATATGTAAGCAACCTCTTGTGAAGTAGATTCAAATTTTTTTTGATTCATGACCCCCACGGGTAGGATGGGGCCATAAAAATCTTCTTCTCAAGAAAGCAAAGCCATAATTGGTCAAAGGTAAATGGAAACATCCTCTTGTAGTGTAGATACAAGTTTGTGTAAGTCTGACTCTCAGGTGTTGGGGGGGGGGGGGGCACAATTGGGTTTAAATTAGGAATACATAGGAAAAATCTTTTAGAAATCTTCCCAAGAACATTTTTTTTTCAAATCTTGACCACTCAGGGGAATAGAGGAGCCATAAAAGTGGATTATAATTTGATATGATTACAAAGAATATGAAGGCTATTTTAATAAAATCTTTCATCTTATAACAGTAAAGCCATTATGTATCATATTTATTTAAAAGTATTCTTAGAAAGTATGAATTAAAGTTTGTTAAAATACCCACCTTACCCTAATCTCTTCTAGGTTTTACATAGCCTGTTGCTTAGGCTGGCGATGTGGTCCCTGTGCCTCTTGGTATAGTTGCTACAAAATGCATATACAATTTTTTTAAATATTGATTTTACAGTCATTAAAAGTTTCAATTGGAAGATTAGTGTATATTGAATGACAATCGAATAATTTAAGAACTTTAAGATGGGTAATTAAATACTTCTTTAAAAATTAAATCCATTTTTTTAATTATTCACATTTATAAGCCTTTTTCGGATGTCTATAAAGCTTTTTATCTTTCTATCTTCTCTTTATATCAATATAATAAATGTGCAGTTCTTACAATGGGTGGTAATGTAGCTCGCGGTCTGTCAATTTTTTGGGGGAGGTACAGTTATGAAGGTACAAGTGTATATATACATTGTACCCGGTATCTTTAATTTTTAATTACTTCCACTGATTATGATGAAAAGATACGTGTTAAATATGAAATAAAATCCACGAGTTTTGGGACCAGACCTCGTATGTTGGAAGAAAGCTTTCTGGGTAAGGAAAGTCGTGGATTCAATTCTCAGTCTTAAAACTCAGGGTCAATAAAAAGGCAGAACAGAAACTGGTCTATTGATAAACAATCGTAATTGGAGGTGAAAATCGAGATACATATAAAAAAAACTATGAGAACAAACATTCAATGCGGCATTCAAACGCATACCGTAAATCTGGAAATTTTTACTGTAGATAAATTTTTAGCAAATTTGCGTGTACATTGCATTCGTAAAAATATTTTTCTTAAAAATAAATCAACATGTGAAGAATTTTTTTCTGAGAACTTGTGTCGTATTTTAACTCAGTGAATAGGCGTCGGAAAGCACTGGTCATTTTTAAAAGAAACCTGTTTACACTAATCTACTATATAACTACAAGTTAATTTCCCGTGCGTGTAAATTGCCCTCATTATATGCAATATCGTCCGATGATTTGACAAGCACTTAGGCAGTATGCCCGTTTAAAATTATTTTCATCAATTAATTTGCCAATAAAGAGAGAACTGTCTTTTTATCTAACTGTGTATCAACACGGGCGATAACTCAAACTCAGTGCATTGACTAGAAAGTTCCAAATGTAAACACGGCGTGTAAATTTTAGGTGAGAAAAAACCAAACATTGAGAAAATTAGTTATACCGGTATTTTTTCTTCATTTGGATTATACTTCAGGTTAAAAGGCATACACAACCTCTAAAATGTTTGTTATAATTGATTAAGAAATTATTTTTAATGCAAATCCTTTTGTATTTTTATCAAAATTGTTTAGGAGCGATTTTGCAATATCTTGCCACGTTCCGAGTATATTGGTGGTATTCTAACTAGGCATATTATTTGAAACATATCCTGATATGAAAATCTTCAGTGATTTTTATTTTTAGCACCAGTGACAATTCGCAAAAATTTGAACCGTAAAAATTAATCAACAGCTTTTTTACCCAAATTCGCAAAAACAAATCGACGTAAAAAATTCCAGATTTACGGTATACCCGTTATGCAAAACGATGCAAATTAAAGATAAGACACAGATATTTTACACAAGATATGTATGTACAGTGTAAGTACATCTTTTTAGTAAATGCGTCTTTTCTTTTCTTGTCGGTGTAAAGATTTGGTCAGCACATCTGGTTTTGTGTCGGGCGACACAGACTTTAAAACATGATAGACATATTCTAAAGTTCACTATATTGTTCATGGGTATAGCATATTGGTATACATATAAAGTTAAGCAAACGAACAATAGAGAACAGGTAAATTGATCCGAGTATTTGTACTGTATTTTAAATGTCAAATTGAGTGCACACTCTATTGAATTATTTATGTATATATACCTTGAAAAACATTACCTGATCGATTTGTATCTTACGGAAGCCCATTAGTGCCAACTTCTATATATAATGGAAATGCAATATATAAGAGCAAACCTCGATATATAAAGGAAATACAATATATATATAAACAAAACCTGGATATAAACGAAACCTCGATAAATATAAAGGAAATATGATATATATAAACAAAACCTCGATATATATAAGGAGAAATGCGATATATATATAAAGAGAAAGTTTTCCACTGCATTACCTGTAACGCTCAGCTGTCCATCAAGATTATATACGGATTAATTCCTGGCAGGGGGAAATCAGTTATACAGTACGCAGAACTTTCCCAGAATCGGAAAAAATGTTGCTATTTTATAGTGTTTATTTGTTTGTACATGCATATATCAATGAACTGTAATTGTAACATTACTTAAAATAATTCACTTAATTAAGAAGAAGAGCATTTAATTAAATCATTTAAATGCATTAATAATTAAGTATTTGTGTTACCTTAAAAGTTTAAATCTAAGGTTAAAACTTATCTAGATAGGTACAGATAAGTTTTAACTTTAGATTATATCTCTAAATGCAACATATGTTGTGTATTTTCTGTGTTTTATTGGCTTTAGAAGTATTTTGATCAACTTCGTTTTTTTTTTACACACTACCTTTGCTTTTTGGGATTTTTTGTTTTACCAAACTTACTACATGTAACTTTGGTTTCACAACCGAGAATATATGAAAATATAATGTTAAACGTGGAGTCTTAGCAAGAACTTTTTAAATGCCCTAATTCAAATTTATATGAATTCATTATAAAAATAATTTACTAGAATGCCCATTGATTGTAAAAAAGAAAAAAAAAGTCGGAATCGGAATGGGAGAGAGGGGAGAGATGAAGGTACGCACTTCATTTGAATGTGAGGGAAGAAAGCGACATGTACTATTACCGTATATATAATAATTTAAGGGTCTATTTGGTGTCAAAAAAAGTATTTGTTGATAAATAAAAAGAAACGAGTTAGTACATGCACACTTGCATGTACATAAACTGCGGATTTTTGTCCCACATCATAAATTAAATCGATTTGAAAATCTACATCATGTAAGAACATAGTATTAACTTTAAAGAACTTATAAAACATGATAAAACACACTTGTATTTTTGCACTTAATTATATTTCGATTAAAAAAGACCCCAACATTTAGTACTATGTAATGTACATTTTAAGCCGAAAAGTCACTCATTGGTGTAATTCTGGACAACACGTCAGTAATGTAAGAAGAACAGAGTTTTTTTGCTTTAGTTTTAATCGTCATAATTATTAAGATACACAAAAGGAAGAAAACACAACACGCTGAATACCATCCTGAAACAGCCACATTAACTGATTGCAATCAGAACATTGGACCGGGAGGTTTGATTTTATATATAGCTTTTCCTTTATATATACAGGTTGGCACTAATGGACTTCCGTAGTATCTAAGTGATTTAAAATGCAAACATTGGAAAATTTCCAAATGCCAGGAACCTGGTTCCTTCTTGAAAAATTTTGGATATTCTTTATCATGTTGGAAATAGTATAAATTTACCTGTTACCTTTTTAAGGTACATGTAAGTATGGAATTTTGAAAAACGTTTGTTAAAAGAGGCATCAACGAATTAAATAAATTTGACTTTGAGAAATTTCTTTAAAGAAAATAAGGAAAATATCGACCAGGATAAAATGAGAATAAAAGATGACAAGGCAATAATATTAGTAAAACTTTTATTTACACAGATCCTACAATTAAACAATATAAGCATTTGATAAAGATTTTGATAAAGACAATATTCCTGTAACATACGATGATTAATATGGCAGGATAATATGAAATATTTTTTGGTATTATTCTATTGTTGTGACTTGCTAAAATACTTAAAACAATATACAATATTTTCACTTAATGGAAAAAATGAGTGAAGAAAGTATGAAAATATGAATTTTTTTTAGTTTAATAAAACTTTTTATTTATATGTTATTTAACAGTGTTTCCCACTACATGGTAAATAAATTTGATACAAGTGCAAAATTTTAAAACCACTGGATTCTACTAAAAGCGAGAAAATCCATTTGCTTAAATAAAATTAGATGCCTTGAACCTGCATGTTGCGACAGTGAATTACCGTTCCTAACATCGACCCCCTAGCGGTAGTTGAAAGAATTTATAGAATTGGCAGCCATCTTTTTTTTACTTGTTTACATATTTGATTGCAAGTTGTTGTGATACATACATGTATATGATATATGTACATGTATGTTTTTTGGACTTATAAGCTTGTATACTGTTCATTATCTATTTAATTGATCAAAATCACCCATTATCGGAATCAAAATAGGGCCTTATAAAATTTATATCAGGAAGCACATTTGTTTGTTTGATATGCATATTTTGCAAACATACAGCATGGTCTTAGCTACAGCAAGCTTGACGGGGTTACTGTATGTGCATTTTGTTCTGGTGCAGGTAATTCTTACATCCGAATTATCTTATTAAAATACATAACCTGTAGAAATATAAGTGGTGCACTTCATGTTTCATGAACACTTCAATTAATACAAGTAATGCAAATTAAAGAATATTTTAAGTTAAATTATAGTGTACATTCGTATTTATCAAACACATAAGTACAGCAAGTTTCCTTGGTAACTTTATTTTCAATATTTAAAAAAAAAACATTCAATATAAATAGAGATGATTTTTAAAGACAACATTTATAAATCATTGTACAATTGTTAACAGAACATTAATTTTCTTTTTGAACATGTGCTAGAGGATGGTTACTTAACCTTATATAGATATTTGAAATTTCCTTGCTTTACACTAAATTTGTTAAATATCTAATTTCAGGCCTCAGACTTTACTAGCTTCTCTTGTCTTGTCTCAGAAAATACAGTCCAAGCTGTTTTATCCTGCCCCAAAAATGAGAAGGAATTCAAAGAAGCAGCATTGAAAAAAAACTGCACAGCATTTTCTGGACAATGTAGAGACCCTGAAAACCTTGTGTATCATTGTGTGATTGGTCCAAATCACAAAGGAGTCTTTGAAGTCTGTGCCTATTGGAAGATAATTCACTGGGGTATTTTAAATTCATAAACATTTTTTTGATATCAAAGATACTACAGTTATAAATAATCTAAGAACTTGATAAAGACATATGCTGCTAACATATTAAGAGTAATATAACAGGATAATATGTAATATTTTCAATATTTTTATTCTATTGTGTGAATTGCTAAAGTATTTAAAACAATCTGCATCATTTTCACCAAATAAAAAAAAATGATTGAAGACACAATAATGAATAAGAATATTTATATTCCTAGGAAAGGAGAGTACATATAACTATTCTTTCATTTAAATACAAATATCATCTACTTTCAGAATTCCAGCTGACTCCATTGCAAATATGTTCTATTAAATCACATTTATTATTGTACAATGCATGTTTCTTATTGTCAATTTTGCAGGATATTGTGCAGAATATAGCAAGAGTGGAAATCTTATTCAACAAAGTGAAGATACAAATTGTTCACTTCAAAAGCACAATCCATGCCCAATGAGCTACAACTCAACTGAGGCATACAAGTGTAAGTGAAGACAAATTCAAACAAACAGCAGATAACTCCTAACTGTAATTGCAAGTTAACATGTTATGCTATGCATTACATTTCTTACAATAAACAAAAAGGCCAATTAATTTGATCTAGAATAACACCATTTTTCGATAATTTAAGTAAAGAACTATGATTTTATTGATATACATGTGAAAAATATCGTTTGCATGTATTTCTAAGATTTCTTCGTCAGCTTTCAATATCTATGCTTATTTTTTTTAATCATTGATACTGAAGAGCACATTCTGGGTACGACTTCTTTTACATCGAGGTAGGGCACTGACAGATATGTTAATGCTACAAGAACTTCAACAACCTCCTAAAAAGACAGCAATTTGTAAAATATGTAGCTGTTATTATGACCTTGAGAGCAAATATATATCAGGGTAGAATAGTAATGACCTTCTTTAGCAAATATATACTTTCACTGGGTCGTGTTGTGGCTGAATTTTGTCATACTTTCATTTTATCATATGAATAAAACTTTTTTTCTGGTAATTTTCATCCATCTTTCAGAAGGTTTTATTCTCGTTACGTGAAATATTCCTCTGCTCGGGTTTTACACTATTTCTTTCTATTTCCAACATTTATTTTCATCAACAAAAATAACCTCAAATTCAAGTGGTAAACATGCCTGAGGTATTAAGTGTTACTTACTTTTCAGATATGAATATTAAGTCTAATCTTAATATGAAGAAAATTTGTAATGATGAATTGAAATGTCAATAATTTTTAGCTCACCATCAAATTAAAAATATCTAATGATAATATGGGATATCTTGAAAGTAGCTATGCTTTTTCGTGCAATTTTATTTTTTTTAGATCCTACTCAAACCATTTGTATCCACTTCATATTTCTTTTTTGTATTTTTCTTTTGGTGTACGGGTAATAAATATCCTTTTGATGGTAAGATGAGCGCTGTATTTTTGATAGATTCTACTGAAAAATATCATTGAATTAAATAAGTTGAAAAATTATGAAGAAGATGTATTGATTATAATGATCAGTTTGAATGGATGATCGATGAAATGGCTTTGCTTGTATGTGACGTACAGATCAGACTTAAGTCACTATTTATTTTTATTTTATATAAAAAGCTGTTTCTTTTCTCTTTTAGGGGAACTGTTTTATAGGATATGAACATTATTTTTTCAGACCAATATTGTTACTAATTAAGTCACATATACTTCTATTTTATAAAAAAAATTCTTTTCTCTTTTCTGAGAATTGTTTTAGAGAAAATAAACATTCATTTTTCAGACCAATCTTGTTACGAATTAGCTAGAAGCTCAACAGTAGGCAACCAATTACCTAAAGGTACCACCACATGTTCATCAGTCAAGAATAAATCGTACGTTAAAAATTATTAATATTCTTATAAATATATTTTTGAAGAAATACACCGATTATAAATAGTCGTTATCTAGATTTGAAGATTTTTACTTGCCTACCTTCTACCTGGATAGTCACGCAGTTGTTAGCACATATTGCTTTGATTGTTACTGACTTTTTTTGACATGAATTTGATTTGAATTTGAAAATTTTGAAAGAGGCGAACAAAGTATCATAATTGCAATAGCTTTAAGTTCTAAATTAAGTAAAAAGATTAATGAGAATGAGTTATTGTTCTAGATTTTGGAGCTCAAAGCAACGATCAGGAAACAACCAAGTTTTAGCTATATGTATTGTATTTACCACCATCTTGAGGATGTTCTACTTATAATTGTAAGTATTCAGAGTTGGTTCAATGCAAAATATGTGAACATTGACGAAAATTTAGTGTGTAAATATTAATGTTTTAAGTTATCTTTAACAGTGTATGTTTCCAATTTCAGTTACCAAGCATTTATACCTCAAGAAATGTGTTCAACGATGTGTTCAATGAAGTATTGATAGTTGTTTATACGGACAAAATACCTTTAGACGAAGTGTTCAATCTATTTATTTCGCCCTAATAAAATGGCAAAAAGCTTCATTTTAATTCATGTTATTTTTCACACTGTTTATTTCAAGTTCTTTTAATATTGATCAAAGAGCAGGTAACTCTAGAGTTAGAAGTAGAATAACATAACAACATGAGAACTTGATAGTGAAATTCATAGAGGGCTTTTAATCATTTAAAAAAACATCCATAAGATTGCAAAGTTTAGCACTTTGGTATCCACTTGAAAATGAAAGATAAATATAAGTTTTTTTTTATTTGTCCATTTCAAAGCGGAAATGTTTTTCATTTGAACTTAACAATTCTGAATGTTTTTAACACTAATTTGCAATGGTTGTAAACCAAATAAATAGTAAAAGCATCAAGTGATGAAAGACATAACCAAAAATAAATGATAAGAACAGAAAATATAAGTAAAGAAATGATAGATATACGGGTGGATCTGTGAAAAAGGATATAAAAAGCACTAAAAAACCAACAACACTGTATATCCTCAATGTCGGATCTACCAAGTAGATACATGGTCACGGATGGAAATTTATATAAAGCACTCAAAATGACCAAGTTGTTTTTTAATCAGAATATTGAAGATTAAATTTGATTTCTTTTATATGCAATATCATGTAAATTTTGATCCCAAGAGCATATTTTGGGCCTAAATTACTCTTTGTAGTCATGACTTGGAAAAATCAAAATCTATACTACATGTATGTAATGGAGTTGCACATAAGCAATTTTTTCAGGCCTGGTATTATTTAGATGATTTTTGAAATATACAATTAAACTTTCACTTATATTTCACCAATTCATATTTTACTAATCAATTTCTACATGGACAATATTATTTAAATTAATACAAGTGTAAGAAATAAAAAGGCAATGTTACTGATTAGTACTGGTCTTATAAGTTCCAATTGAGACAGAAAATCCCACGTTATATAATTTTACTTATATATATTATGACTATTTGTAATAAATCATTTAATATATGATATTTTATTGGTTTAATTTTGTTTCTTACATTTTCTAAATAAATGACATTTTGATCAGAAGAAGAAGAAATCAGAAGTGCCTCCGAGAATGGTATCAGAAATTATCTACCCTTTGAAACTGACCTTCGTGTTACATGAAACTTAAGACGTTATATTATAGCTATACCAACTCTTAATATAAATTTATTTTGTTCATAAATACAAGAAAGTAGGGTATAGATTTTAAATTGGGGACAATTTTAACACTTTAGGTCTTAAATTTATTTATTTTCGGTAAATGTAAGATTAAAGTTTCGTAAATGTACTATGTAAAACCAAGGAAATTATACATTAGAAGTAAAGAATGAAAGCTATGTATTAAATCCCGTTCTTTGTATGGGTAAAAGAAAATTCAACATTGTTTAAACGTCGAAAATACAAACATTCAATAAAAAAAACTATTTATATTTGAAACATCTAATATGGCAAGAAGGATAACTCTGATTTGGTATTCACTCTTGTAGTTCGATCAATTTTTATTCCTATTAGAGCATAGCATTCTTACTCCACTCTTACTTTTCAATTCCATCGCTTTGTCAAGATACATGTGTCAGTCATTTTTTAGTTGCTTACAGAGGCTTTTGGTCTTGGCGGTTTTTTAACCCCACCTCCACGAATTTATTGTCATTCATATTTTGTAATCAATGTTTGAAAATAATTTCATCATTTGTTAATATATATTTGTGGTAAATTGAATAAATGGCATTTCCCACAAAAAAAAAAAAAAACAAACAAACAGAAAAAAACAGGGGGTTCTGATTTCTAATTGCAAATGAACTCAGATTCATCGGAGAATAAAACTGGTTGTTCAAGTTGACAAATAAACATTATTCTATTGGAAAAGAACATGGAATGAAATTGAAGTTACTTAGTAACGGAAAAATGTGGGTGACCAAAAAAATACCCCCTTACACATGTACCCCCGCTTGAAAAGCGGATGGGTACACGTATAAATTAATCAGTATGTCCGTCCGTTTTCCGTCCTTCCGTCCATCTGTCCGTCTGTGCGTCCTTCCGTTAAGCTTTGGGATACCTATATCTTATCCACAACTCCCCTCAAACCTCTCAGTGAAACTTGAGTAAACTTTCAAAGAATCTTTATAATGTATTGCCATTATGTACCTCTTATTTTACTTTTCGATCCGATACATATTTTGGGTTTCCCATAGCAAAACATGGACACTGCCATAATATTCATATTGGAGGCGGTGAGTATCATTTAGTGAGCTCATTGCTCACAGTACCTCTAGTTTATTTCCCTAAACCAATTTTTTCCACACTTTTGCCATGTTTTATTAGCACAACTAAACTTACCAGATGGAATGATGTCAGCTACATAAAGTAGAAATATATGCAACTTATTAAATTTTAAGTGTTTAAGGAAGAATTGAACTAACAGGTATTTTATCTTACCTACTTATAACATCATTTATGGGATGGCACTTAATTACGGGAATTACTAACTTAATTATCTTCGTGCTGGTAAGCAAATAAGGTCGTCAACAGAGACTTCCATGCTGGCCTGCCTTGTGTCCATCTCTTGATCTGTCCCCATGGCCAGTTATATTTTCCCATCTTTTTCTCCACAGATCTTCTCCATGTTTTTTTTTGGTCTTCCTGTCTTTCTCTTGCCAGTTGGTGTCCATCTCAATGCAAGCCTTGGGAGGGAAGTTGGGTGCATTCTACATACCTGTCCTTTAGCCACAGCTATTTTCTTCTCTTTATAGCTTGAAAAAGAGGGGTGGTGGTGTTTTATTTTTGTGCAGCTCTTCATTTGAGATGGTATTTAGTCAAAAGATGCGTAGTATTCTGCGAAGGCAACGTGTCTACAAGGTATCTAGTTTTTTTTAAATCGTTTTAGTAACTTTCCCTGCTTCAGCACCATATACATATTAGTATCATTTCTTTTGTCCTTGTCATTTCTTAAAAAATATGTATGAGTTATACAGTATTTTCTATCTTCATCTCTACGAGTAAAATGCAAGACATAACAGTTTCCAGTTCATATATATGATTTTTGTTTTGTTTATATATGTATCACAAAAAGAGTCTTCGTATTTATGCAAATAGAAAAAAAATATTAAATGTGTTGAAGATTAAACTGAACCTTAGTGCAGATATTAGGTGAACATGATTATGTACATGTACGGTTATGTTTAATTTTTTAAAATGTATTTTTTTTCTTATTAATTCATGAAAGAACAGAAATCAAACATCAATTGAAGCCAGAGACAATAATTTTACAGATACTTTTAAGTATTACTTCCTACAATAAATCAAGAAAGTATTTATATCATTTTTGAGACCATCTACAAATATGTTCCAGACTCTGATAGGCAACTGTTACTATTGACATATAATTTAATTTATTTGTTAAAATATGCTTTTTGATCCAATAAAATATAATCTATATTGTATATTGTTGGTTGCCTACAAGTATGTACCAATGACTTACATAAAAAAACTCATCAGTCCGCTCGAAGTTGCGTCTTTAAATATGAACAATTTCAAACTGATTTGATGGAGAAATTGTCTTGCTATCCCTAATTAATGAAATTTGAATAATAAGTAATGAATTATTAGCAACCCAATTAAAAAAGGTATAACCATGTCTGGAGCTTTTTACACTTTAAAAAAAAACGTCGCGGTTTATAAAGCGTAAACTGCCCCAACCCAGGTTATACTGTTAAACTTATGTGAAACCCTCTCCAATACTAGGGCCCCTTGTATCAAAGTAAATTTATCCATGCGTTTAATTTTATTACCCTTTTTCAGTTTTTGTGAATATCAAAAATGATATGAAAATAGCATTAAATTGTATTTAAAGAAAGAAATCAACAATACAAAATACCGTCAGTATAACATATTCTACATGTATAATGTGTCACTAACGATACATCAATCTGTAATGCATTAGGGCAAATGCGAACAAATATGAAATATTTCAGCCGAACTCAACATTGAATGTCATGTTAAATCTTTGAGTAACACCTTCAACTAAGACTGACATGTAATAATTAGGCTGTTGACGCACATATCGGAGGTATTTGATGGAAAAACGCACATATAAGGGAAAGAAGCTTAATTTCATCTAAAATCAGGTAGAAACAATAAGTTGATCAAAATTGTAATCTGTTTTAAGCTTTTTCAAATTTGACTGTTGAAGTATGTCGGCGCATTTGATGGTAGATTTTAAACATGCAAAAATGACGTCATAATATAATTTGTTTTTATATAATGCAGATTTCATGAAAGCGACAGAGTTAGGGTAGTGACAGAGTTGGGATATGGCAGTACATATTAATAAGCAAAAAGTGTGCATTCTTTAAAATAAGTTTAAGATTATTTATACATTATCTTATTTAAATAGAGTTTGTTTCTTTGTGAAATACAAACAACTAGAAATATCGTATGCCGCCAATGACGTTTCAAAATCTTGATGTAACTGTTCTGTTTTAAACTGCGTTAAACTCTTATGAAAAAAATGAATGAATTTCTTATGCCTCCTAATATGCTTCGATCTCTTGTTGATATTAAAACTAACCTTAAAAAGGGAATGATTAAGTGTCAATATTTTGTTTAATGTTATCGAATTATAAATATTTAACACGTTGAGTTACAACGTTTGAATAATAAGACTTGACAAGTTCATTTGAATCCTGATTACTTTTCCTATGCTAATTAAAATGAAAACCCTCAATGCAATTGATTCTGTAGGTGTTTTAAAGTGTTAACTAGGAAGATACTGTAAATTGCTTTAATTCCACGGTGTTAAAATTTCACGATATCTCAAAAAGTACCAATTGCGATGGTTTTTATTTCACGCTGCAAGAAATTAATTCAAAATTTCCAATAAGCAATTTAACATTATTAAAAACTAATAATAACATTCACGATGGGTTTAATTTCGCGGAAAATGAATAAATCGCAAACATAGCGAAATTAAAACCATCGTGAATATTTGCCAATCTACAGTAATTTGTTCCTAAATCGTATGAGTCAGACCGAGTGGCTTTCATTGAATAAGTTAAAAATATTCCATTTTTCAGCTTCGAGGGTTTGTGAAGTGTTTCATTACTAATTTTGTAGGTTAAATTATGAAATTATTTTAAAAAAACATAGAGTATTTTTAATATCGAAAAAAAGCACTTAAAATACTTCCTTAACTATAGAATTTTTCACGATATATATCTGCATCCATCCTTCCTTTGCTAATATTCCTGAGAAATTCCTGAATTTCGAAAGTCATTCAAATGTCTGTTTTCTTGCAATTGAGAAAAAACCTTAAGTTG